ATTTCTTATGACAATGTTTATAGAATCCTATGAATCATAAAGGAACATCAAGAAGGCATTATCAACTACTTCCCTAGGTTACTGAACAGTGAGGTTTTTATTCTTAAAAATATTCTTTCATAGGACAAACCAAATTTTCTTCTCTCATAAAACATGTAAGGAGTACATTGACACACACACACACACACACACACACACACTCAAAAAGCCCAAACACTTGTTTATAGTTCCTAAGGAAAAATAAGATGGCTTGGATACAAGGGAACAGAATAATAATTTCACTTGCAATGGGTCTGCATTGACTGGAGGTACTTGAACAACCAGGGAGCCCGAAATGGTTGTAGGAGCATGAAGAATTTAAGTGGCACTAAGATATTATCATTTTATTAAAAAATAGAAATAATGCAAATTAAAACCTATTCAGAGATGTAGGATATTGTTTTAAATAGATTTCAGGATGGCTTTCTTGCACTTGCCCTTCCTGCTAAATTACCAAATGATGATGTTTCTTTTTCTAATCAGCATTTTTTGAAGTATAATTTACATACAATAAATAAACCCATTTTAATTTTACAAATGGATGAGTTTTAAGAAATGCATGTAGTCATATCACTACTATAACCATCATGATATAGGATATTTTCATTATCCTAGAAGGTTCCCTTAAGCCACTCTGTGGTCTATTCTCATTTGTTATCTTCAGACTCTGGTGACCACTAATCTGCTTTTACTATTGTTTCCTTTTCTAGAATTCTGTGTGGATGGAAGATTATCATATACAACATCTTGAGTCTGGCTTACTTTAATTAGCATAATGCTTTGAGAATAATCCAATAGTTTGCCTTTTTCTTGTTTAGCAACATTTCGTGGTGAAAATACACCATAATTTGTTTATTTATTCACCTATTGATGGAGACTTGAGTTCTTGACAATTTTGTTTGTTTTACAATTATGAATAAAGCTACTATAAATGTTAGTAGACAGGTCTTTATGTGAACATAGATTTTCATTTGTTTGTCTTGGGACATAGTTGGGAACAGGATTGCTGAGTGTATGTTAAATATATATTTAACTTTATAATTATCTCCCAGACTGTTTTACAAAATGACTGTACCATTTTGCATTCCCACTGGCAATGTATGAGAGTTCCAGAATGTAGACATCCTCACTGACCTCTATTGTCAATCTTTTTGAGTTGTAGCCATTATATTGGTTGTGTACTGGTAATACATTGTGGTTTTAACTTGCATTTATCTAATATCTAATGAGTATCTTTTCATGTAATTATTTGTAAGTTATATATCATTTCTGGTGTATTATCTACTCAAAACTTTAACCCTATATTTTAACCACATTATTTATCTTATTGGTGTGTTCTAAGAGTTCTTTATGCATTTTGTATATACATTCTTGGTGAGATATGTATTTTCCACATCGTTTTCTCCCAGTCTGGCTTGATGTTGTGTTTTCTTGGTCTTTTAAAAAGACAAATTTTTAACTTTGCTTTTGCTTGTGCTTATTGTTTTCTAAGAGATCCTTGCCTAACTCAAGGTCACAAAGATTTTCTCCTGTTGTCTAGTTTGGAAGTTTTATAGTTTTGGCTCTCATGTGTAAGTTGATAATCCATTTAGACTTAATTTTGGTATATGATGTAAATTAGGGGTTGCTATTTATTTGGCCAATGGATATGAAATTGTTCCAGCATTATTTGTTGAAAATAATATTCTTTTCCCATTGAATTTTCTTGGTGCTTTTGTAAAAAATCAATCAATCATATGAATGTAGTTCTGCTTCTGGTAACATGCTATCTTTTTAGTGTAACTTTATAATAAGCACTTAAAAGCAGGTAGTTTAATTTAAAAATAGAGTCCTATTTATGGGAATACAGAACTTGCTAAATGTAGCATTTCAAACCTATGGGGAAAAAAGAGTTATGCCATTTTCCCCCTTCAGAATCTCCCAATAAGTTATTAGCTCAGGACAACCGAATTCATCTTGACCCTGATTAAATCTGACCCAGTGAACTGGCTTTTTTTTTTTTATTATAGTACTCTCAAGGTGGGCATAGGCTGTTTTAATAAGAAAGCTTGGTTGGTTTTATACTTAGAATCCAAAATGTTGTTTTTTATATACAAACTTGTAGGTATAACAGTTTACTGAAAAGGAAGATGCTGAATTATGGTCTTGTTCCCTCAGTGCTGTGAGGCACAATATTTACAAATAAAGCCTTTTGAATCTTAAAAGAAAAGGAAAGCAACTCCAAACAGCAAACATTGGTAGTGGTAATGTGGTGATAACAACCCATCATTATTATTCAAGAACACACAGGTTTCCATCATTAAAATACTATTTTAAAAACCACAACTGTTTATAACCATCATTTGTGGATAAGCCTGAGGCATGTGAGGAATAAGTAATTTATATTTGTGCAATCTCATGTTCTTGTGTAATTACCAGTTGGGACTTAAGCCAGCGGTTCCATGCCTTTTTAACAGGTCTGGATTTGTATGCATGTGATGAGGGAAGTTGCTGATGTTAGTGACTATAAATTTTACCTCCTTAGTTTTGGCCTAAGATGGCACCGGATACTTCATTATGTTTCCTTAATAGGAACTGGCTGAACTTCATCTCCAAGTAGAGGCAGGAGAGAATGAAATAGGCTATAATTCTAGAAGATGGCAACATTAAAAAGAGCAATTTTACTCTGCTTTCATTTTTCCTGCCCTATCTAAATGGATAATATTGAGAACTAATCACAGCTAAGTAAGCTACTAGGTCCATTAATATATAGTTATGTAAACTTGCAGTTATGTGAATTTTGCCTTTTTTTTTTAACTTCCAAATCCCTTATTTTTTTTCTTTCTTTTAAATTCTTCTCTTGTTATTCTTCTCCCTTTATCTGAAATATGATATATGTAGGTCTCACCAACTGCTTTTAATTACACTTACCATCACCTTTCATATCTCCATGTTTTAGTTTCCTGCTATTTCTTTTGCCTAGAATATTTTCACACCCCGCTCCCAAATAACTTGTATTTATTCTTCAAGGTTCTGCTCAGACACATCCAATGAACTAACTTGTTTCAAGCTACATGTCCAACTTATATATCAATATTTGTTCCATGAATGAAAGCATAACTGCAGCAAGTCTTACCATTTTTTCTCCTTTCCATGTCTTCAACTTTACAGCTCAAGAACAAGAGTCATATATCGGTCTATTAATATTTTACAAATGTCAGCATGGGCTCCAAGGTTTGACTTTGCCTTTCTGGATTAAATCCTGCCTCTATCCTCTAAATATGCAAACTTGAGGTTCAGTATCTTGTAATCATAGTACCATCTCTTGCATAAGTTTATTGGGATAATTTGATGAAATATGCACCTGAGCATTTAAAAAAATCATATCTATTATTGTGAACTGAAGCTTATTTTTTATATCACATTCACTGATTCATCAACTCTACGATTTGAATGTCCCCTCAAGTGTCTAATAAAAGTTACAACATTTCATGTTATCACAAGAAAGACTGTCCTAATGGGAGAGAATGTGAAAATTACGCTTTTTATTATAGTCACACAAAATAGTTACACCAAGTTGTCCAAATGCATTTGGTGAATTAAAGCCTCCAATTCTTACACATTTTTATACATATATCTATGCATTTATAAATACACACATATGTAAAAGATACATATTGTCTTCTAAAATAAAGTGCCCAAGTTTTGATATACGGGGGCAAAATAAGGAAAAAAGAATCATAAGGTTTTATCAGTTATAGACTGCATTTTCACAATATAAGAACCTGTTGTATAACACATTTATTTGGATACAGTGAACATTAATCAGCTGTTCTTTTCTGAATTCTCCTAAGTGAATTAATTTTTCCCAAATACAGGGTGGGGCAAAAGTAGGTTTATAGTTGTGAGCACACAAAACACAGATTATTCTTGTATTATTATTTATTAATTATTTCCCACATGAACAGCAGTAAACCTACTTTTGTCCCAACCTGAATTAGAAGAAGTCATGTAACCAACATAATGAATCAGAGGCCAATCTTTCTTACTGTGTCTGGCACAGAGCTTGGCTCCCCAACACAAGGGTAGTTCAGCTTCATTCTTAATTTTTCTGCTTTTGGGACTGTTGTCTTTCTGCTAAGGTGATAAGCAGAGAGAGAGAAATCAATCAGACATCTCTAATTCTAAACCCTCTGTTACCATTCAATAAAGTTAGGGTTTGGTGAAAAGATTCCTAGTGTCTTTACTTCACCCCAGGCTTGGTGAGAAAAGGATCTGAACGGAGGGGTCCTACTGCCTCTGTTATAATGAACTCTTGGTGTTACAGAAGAAGAATTAGGGTGTGATGACCAATAAATGGATCATTGAGAGAACCAATTGAAATGGAATTCTCTATTATACAATGGAAAACCTTGTGAGAACATGTCTGAATTTAAGAACAAAATAAGGGTTCAAGAAAAACAAGATAATATAACATAATTCACAAAAATCTTTGCTTCAAATAGGAACCAGGACACCATTCCATGCCCCAATCTTTCAGCTACTCTTCCTGTATTTTTACTGTTATTTTCTATTATCTTGAACTCCTAATGTGTTCATTTGTAGACTTTGATGAGAAAAGGAATTTAAAAATGCCTTTGAAAAGATTTCAGCCTACTGAAGCAAAGTGATGATGCCTAAAAATAGCTTAACACGAACCCAGCCATTTCAGAATCTCTGGTGATTACATGTTCAAATTGCAAGGAAGTGTACCTTATTCAAGCAGGGAAGGGAATAATTGTCAGCACTGAAATTGCATAAAACACTATAACTTCTCAACATACAGGATGCTGGAAACAAGGGGAAGCTCAGATAGTTCCCAGAGTTAGAATAAGGACTAGAGTATTTTCTTTTATCTGGGGGGATAAAAGAGGGAAAAGGACAAGAAAGTGTTTCCAATGACCCAACCCACCTCCATAGGGCCTTCGCAAGCACGGAGCTGCCTAGCTACTGATCTTGGTGAGCATCTTGTTAATGGCTTGCTTGACATGCGTGGTGGAACTGCGTCTCCTTGTCTTGCCCTGCACCATCCTCCGGCGACGCACCTCTCGACACAGCTCGTGGAATATCTCCGTGATGTTCCCTTCTCCAGTGCAGGCAGAACACTCATAGAAAGCACATGCCAGCTCCGTGGCCAGCTTCTCCCCTTCTTCAGTACTGACCTGCCTGGAATGGTCCAAGTCAGCTTTGTTTCCAACCAAGATGAGAGTCACATTCTTGGGTTTTTTGATCTCATCCAGAATGTTCTTCAGGGGCAGCATTTCCTCAAAACTTCCTCGGTCAGTGATGTCGTAGACCAGCACAAAGCCTTCCCCCCACCGCATGTGTCCTTCCCTCTGGATAGTGTCTTCCTGGTGGCAAAAAGAACACAGCAGTGAGGAGACCTGAAGTAATCCCAGTATAGAGATGCTGCTGATGTTAACAGTGATTACTATTAATTGCTATTAAATTACTATTCATTCTAGTCAGCGTCATTAAAAGTTTTTGATAAGCTTACCATCTCAAATTGGTTGGGAATAGAAGCATTACTTATACATAGCAAGGTATGTTAGGAAACTAGAACTTTTCTATCTGCTTAGACCTTAATTTTCTGCTTCTAATTTTTCTTGATTCATCATTGAATCTTTAGTCACCAGAACTATAAAGAAAGTACCACCTTCCTTAAGCACACTGCCTCTGAGACTTCTCATCACAATTAAGGAATTAGCAAACAGGTAACAAAGTAGACTTTACCTCACCCCTTAGAGATCAGAATTAGAGGCACGGCTTAGTGAAATAGTTTTGCTTTTTTTTTATTTCTTTTATCTCTTCCTCCTTCAGATTATGGACAATTAGCCACCAAAGGCAGAAAAACAGAATAATCATATAGAAGAGTCAAACTCAGAGTCTGGGGCTTTTGGCTTTTTTTTTCCTCTCCTATTTCAATTCTCCCAAAAATTATATAGTTCCAATAATGATAGAAACTCATTTGAAGTGATTTTCAAAGGGTGTGATCACTCCTTCCTAGGAAGGCAGCATGTGTGATTTGAAAATGCATTGCCTTCATGGGCTTAGTGACTTCTGCAGGCATGTACTTCCCTGCTGCCTCTTTCTAGAATCAGTTCTGGGTGGAGGGTGAGAACATGTATAGGAAACAGATGCTGATGAGAAATCAAGAAATATAGTTACTTGCAAGAACATTTCTTGGATTAAATACTCTCATGCCAGTCTTCTTGGGGTCGTAGGTCACTGATAAGCACCATGAAGTCCTTCAGCTTCCTAATTCTCATTCCTAGTGATCACTCCTAACTTTGGGAACTAAACCTATCTGTGAACTCATTGGTAATCTCAGAACTGAATGACCTCAAAGAAAATTTATATTAAATAAATTGTTATTGTTTAATGATATGTTTCATATTTTCAATAGGATATGGTGAGGTCTAGAAAGAATATTAAAGGAGAGATTCCTAAGATAAAAGATTCTGAAAAGAGATTCTGAGGTCAGATAAATTTAGAATATAATATGTACGAAAGTCCTTAATGATTTACTTTACACATAAGCATAATAAATGCTCTGAGAACTTCTGTAAAGAAAGATTTCCATTTAACTTTATAAGATAATTTCAAAACACTTTTAACCATGAAAATCTATTAATATCTTGCAATTCGCCCCTCAAAATATGGGTGGGCAATGTGAATGTTATGGTGTTTTCCAAACCCCTTGAAGTACTTAGTAATTTACGTAAGGATGCATACACAGGCTGTTGCAAATACATTGATATAGAAATACTTAGATAACTAAATTAAAATGTCTTTATGAATCACTGATTAATTATAGGAAAATATCTTTTGTTCATTTGCACATCTCATTTGAACTAAAAAACCCCTGCTTATTCACCTGACCAGCAGTATCTAGTATCTCCATGGTGACAACTTCATCATCGATGGTTGCTTGGTGTCGGTAGGTTGATTCTGAGGGAATGAGGAAAAAAAAAAGGACAATAAAAAAGTAAATGAGATCATGGTTTGATTTGATTCTTAAGATTACAAATTTGTCATAGGAGCATGCCTGTTTTATGGTTTAAGTGAATGTGCACAGATGGAAGGAAAGAATGTGCAAGATTGTGTCATCTTCGTAGAGTTCCTGTAGTAACAGGTAATAGTCTTTCAGGATATAGCACGTGAGAGTCTCTTTGTCTCTTGCTCATTTTAATCTCCTATGAGATCAGCTTGCTGATGCTCTCTGCCTTCTACAATGAGACCTCCACATCCTAAAATGAGAAAGTTATTCCTACAGAATGTATTCTACCTTGATTCTAAAAGTCCAATTTTTGGAAATCACTGTTTGTTACTGTTCCAGACAAGATGACATATAAGCAAGAGCTGCTAATTTCTTTCTAGACCTCAACCCTAGAAATGTAATAGGCATTAGAAGAAGGTGATGGTTATCCATGTAAAAATGATCATGTAAAACTATGAGAAGTCCTTGTGGCAGTAGAAGGTGAATGGGCCCTGATGTTTGGGGAGTTGGTGAGAAAAGTAGAGGAGGGCTAGACAGTATGCAGGGGAGATGGAACAAAGCAGAGTTCTCTTGCTCTTGTTGCCTCTTCAGCGTAGAAAAACAATGGCAGCTCAGCACCATTGGCAGAGGTGGGGGACATGCAGCATGTGTGCTGTGTAAGGCCTGAAAAAGCATTTGCTCTGGTCCTGCCAATGCATTAGGGGTGAGTTAATTAAATGCTTGACCAAATATAGCAGGCTAATTTTTAAGTTGATAATTTTGTATGGCCCACAAGTGGCCCTTGGCAGAAAAAGGAGTTTTGGGTGGCTCTGAAGGTGCCCCTTATCACATGAAATGGAAACCAGAGGTTAAAATAAAAACCAATAGTGCTGCTCTATATGAAAATCCAAGAAGATATGAGAAAAGAAGAGAGAAAAAAGCAGGGAAAAAAGTTAAAGATAGCAAAAACCAAAGCACAGTGCTTGAAAAAATGTTTTTAAAAAGAGATAGGCGGAGAGGTAAAAATCTGGCAATGCTGTATAGTAAATTAAGGGAGAAGGTGCAATCATACAAAATTTAACACAAAAAGAGGAAATAGCTACATAGTTTGATGAAATAAAATAAAATAATATTAGGAACTGTATAACAACTGATTTCAAACCCTAATAAATTCTGAGAGAAGACAATGCATAGATTGGAACAATAAGAAATAGAACACTTAGCTAGATTATAGTCAATAACTACACTTACATGCTAATAGTAGATTTCTCCTAATCATAAAAATCAATTGCATACAATTGGCTTTACTGGAGATTTCCATTAAACATTAAACAGGTTGTTCTAGAAAATATAAAAAGGTCAGGTAGCCAATTCCTTTTATGGGGCATTATGTTGATTCTCATAAGAAGTATTACAAGACAAACAAGAGAAAAAAAGAAATTGTAGGCTCATAGATTAAAAAATTCTAAATCAAATATTATTCAATTAAATCCAACAGTTGTAATAAGAAAAGTATGTCATGAGCAGTAGAGTTTATTTCAGGACTGAAAACACATTAAAATCTATCAATGCAATTTAACACATTAAGGTACAAAAGGGGAAAAAAATCACATGATTACCTCTATAGGTAGATCTATAGCAAGATAAAATTTACATAAATTTAAAATGTATGCATATATAAAAATACATTTTTCAAAACTATCCTAATAAAAGAATAATATGCAAATTAACCACCATTCTACTACACCCACATGCCACGCCCACCAGCCAATCAGGAGCAAGCAGGAGGCTTGGTTTCCCTGGCAATGGAGGAAGCCAAGCTTTCCCCACACCCTGGTGGGCCTAGGCCTCCACTCAAGGCTACAAAGTTTCAATTCTAAAAGATAAATAAATCACAGAATACAGGGCTTCTGCTTGGGTTGCTGGAGGGTGTGGCCAGCCTGCAAACTACCACAGGCTCCTTGCCCAGGCTGCCGCATGCCCCAAGGGAACCCCCACCCTGATCTGGAAAACCCTTCGGGGCAAACCATCTAGCTCCCATCCATGCAGTAGGCCTCTATCCTATCTAATAAAAGAGTAATATGCAAATTGATATCACTCCAACACACAAGATGGCTGTCCCCATTGGTCAAAGATCCTGCCCCCATGTGGATCCTGCCCCCACAAGGGAGGGCAGTTAGAAATGACCAGGCTGGTAGGGGAGGACAATTAGGGGTGACCAGGCCTGCAGGGGAGGGCAGTTAGGGGCAAACAGGCTGGCAGGGGAGCAGTTAGGCATAAATCAGGCTAGCAGGGGAGTGGTTAGAGGGTGATCAGGCTGACAGGCAGAAGCAGTTAGGGGCAATCAGAAAGGCAGGCAGGCGAGCAGATTGGAGTCAGCAGTCCTGCATTATGAGAGGGATGTCTGACTGCTCTTTTAGGCCTGATCCTACCATCAAAGGGATCCCAGATTGAGAGGGTGCAGCCTGGGCTGAGGGCCTCTAATGTATATATATTAGCTAGCTAGCATATACTGCTTACCATTGAACCAAGAATTGTTTTAAATGCTCTATTTATATTAACTCATTTAATTCTCACAAATATCTCATGAAGTATGTGTTACCCTTAGCTCCATTTTACACGAGGAAACTGAGGCACAACAGCACTAAATAACTTGCTATAGGTCACACAGCGGCAAGTGGTAAGTGGATTGGAACCCAGGAAGCTGGCTTTGGAAATTTCAGCTTTTAACCACTATGCTAAGTTTCAGCCATGTTGCATTATATATATACCTGTGGGAAAGAGGAGGGCATTGGGGATGTGGGAAAAGTTAAATAAAGGCTTCACATATATCTGACATGGTATCAGGACCAGAAGGGAATGACTAACTTAAATATTAATTTAATTGCTCAATTATTTGCATCTAACCTACTCAAATCATTAACCAATCAGCAAAGCAAACAAACCTAGAAGATTCTTTCCCACCAGGGCAGCCAGTGCTTTTAGTTTTCCCCTGTTTACCTCATGTTCCTGACTCACTTCCTCATCTCATCAACTATTTTATAGTTCTTTCTTGACCACAGTTTTATGTTACTTTGCTGTAAATCTACTCAAAATGCAAACGACAAGAAGGAGACTTAACCCAGTAGCATAATTGCCACCAGCCCTGGACAATGATTGTTGTCCCCAGTATGGCACATTACTGACATCTTTTCTGAGAATTAAAATTAAAAAATGAGATTATACTCAATATATTTAAATAAACATTGTTCTCATTCTCCTGAAATATGCAATCCATATGTGGCAAGTCTGATTCTCAATTCTAGACTATTCTACCCCCTTATTCTTTTTTAAAAAATATATATTTTAATGATTTTTTTACAGAGAGGAAAGGAGAGGGATAGAGAGTTAGAAATATTGATCAGCTGCCTTCTGCATACCCCCTACTGGGGATGTACCCACAACCAAGGTACATGCCCTTGACCAGAATCGAACCTGGGACCTTTCAGTCCACTGAGCCAAACTGATTAGGGCCACCCCCTTACTCTTTTAAATTAAATGGGAGATTATTGTTTTTGCCGGATTTAATGCTCTAAAATACCATTTATAGCAACTCATCTCCAAGTGTTCTGTCCTTCATTTCCTCCTTCATCCCCAGAGTCCCAGCTTGGGACACAGAGGCCCAGAGAGCAGCGCAGGCGCTGGAACCACGCCTTGTGTCTCCTCCGAGGTCCTGGGTGACCTCCCAGTCGCCCCCCCCCCCCCCCTCTCTCTAAAGGGCTGGCATCAGCCCACCCCGGAGCCTGGAAAACAGAGTCTGGGCTCTCTTCCATCCCTTTGCACCAAAAGTCTGACAGACAGGGACATTTTTCTCTGCTGCTTCCATGATAAATAGGATATGAATTTCAACCGCAGTAGGGGGAAATAGAACATAATGGAAATTGTATGAAGTTGCGTGACTCTTTGGCTGCTAGTGAACCGAAACGAAAACGATGAAATACAGGAAATGAGGGAATGTCTGCCACCGTCGTAGCTTAGCTGCGGGTGGCAGCAGTCATTTCATCTAAGCCCAGTGCTGGTTTCATGCCATTTTGAGCATTTTTTTTTTCGTTGAGTTTCTTTCCTTCAGCACCCCTGACTACATGTAAAACAGTGGAATTATTGCCCATAGAGGCAAAAGGCTGTACCATGTGCTAGTTTTTATAAAGATAATTCTTTAAAAAATGTATTAGGTACTTTTTGAAACCAATTTCTGCTACTCATTTTATTAAAATATTATTCTTGATTTTAGAGAGGAAAGTTAGAAGCATCAATGAGAGAGAAACATTGGTCAGCTGCCTCCTGCACGCCCCCTACTGGGGATTGAGCCCATAAACCAGGCATGTGCCCTGACAGGAATCCATCCTGACCTCCTGGCTCATGGATTAACGCTCAAACACCGAGACACACCAGCTGAGCTGTACTATTCATTTGAGAATATTAAAGAAAATGTGTATGTGTTTGAAGGGTAGAAAAACTTTTCATTTTTCTCATACTGACAGAAAATGACATTTTGAGCCTTTTTTAGGAAGTGGAGGGGGATGGTTATTTAAGAGATATTTCTAAAGGAACCAAAATGTTGTATGCTTATAAAACCAATATTAGTACAAATATGGAATTAGGAATATTAAAAATTATATCTGGATTGCACTGCATATAAAACATACATTCAGTAAATAGTATATTTTTATAAATAGAAGTATATTTTATATACTCGAAGAGAAATTGATGCTCAAAGAGGAACTGTATGGTTGATCCTTTCACTAATTTAGCTCTTGTAGTAAATTTCAACATATTAATATGGACATCTGGCTAAAACAGTAACAACACCAGTTAGTAACATTGATTTGTGCTAGAGTGGAAATTGTACTGACTTGAGTTCTATTGCTGATCTAACCACAAACTAATCACATAATTGTGGATACATTTACTTGGTTGGACTCTCCTTCTTATT